AGGCTTCGGCTTCGGAATTGTTTCACCTTCAGGCATCTGAACGGAAGCCCTTTCAACCATCCTATTAGCAACCATCCAGTCCAATTCTTTATCATCCATCAATGTCTTCCCAAAAATTAAGGATTTGGTGTCATCACCCACTAATTCTGATTCTGATGCAGAAACATCTGATAAATCTTCACCAGAACTAAAATGGTGTGATTCAACAGGAGAATTCTGAGAAGCAATTTTTTCTTCAGAGACAACTTTTTCTTGAGCAGACATCTAAAAATAAACAAACAACAAGGACACATTCTTTAAAAAATAACAAATATAAAAAAGAGAACGAAGAAGGAAAACAAAAATAAAACAAAGTAAAAACTAACCTTAGTCAATCAAGCTTAACTTTCAGAAAAAAAAAACTTATCTTCACAGGAGAATTTGGCCTCGCAAATAAAAATCAACTTCGCTTCAAAGAAAATTTCAGCAGCACCTCCCCATCTTGGAAGAAGTTGCAAAACAGGGGGAGGGCTCAGTATATATAGGCGGCTTCAGTATATATAGGCGGCTTCGGGTCAAACTTAACGGTTCAACTTTAGCCGGTCAAATTCGACTGTTACAAATTCAAAAAAGCAATTGTTTTCAGGATAACGGATATAAACGGCCAACTCCAAAGTTCGGGACGGCGTTTTCTGTCTTCGTTTTAAATCCAAACTCCGCGGGATTCAGACCTTTGGAGTAGGCCTTCGCCCGCGAGGGGCTGCTCTTGGGGTTTAACTTTGCCAAGAAAACTTAGCTCCTAAAACTTCAGAGTTAAAATTATGATTTTCATAACAAAGTTTGACTGCATGGAAAAGCAGCAGAGCGAAGTTGAAAATTTGACTTTGCAAGAGGGAATTCGTATTCGCTCAAGAAACCTTGTCTTCGCCTAAAGGAAGAAAGAGACAAAATCAAGCGAAGATAAAGAATTAGCTTGGCTTAACATTTTGAAGACTAAAAGATGAAGTGAAAATCAACTAAGTCCAAGTGACGAAGACACTAAGAAGATTAAAGACCAAAAGCTGAAGAATGAAGGCTTAGAAGAGGGAAAAGACTACTTCGCCCTTGTAGTTAAAAAGGGTTGTAAATATATTGGTTAAGGGCAAAATAGTCATTTGTATGTAAAATGCGAAGACTGTGGTCTCTATAAATACTCCCTCTAATATGTACAGTACCACGATGAAATGAATACAGCTTTGCCATGTATTCAAACTTTGATGTTCAGGTGATTTCTTAACCCAAGAGGCACCAGACGACATGACATATCGATCAATGGCGGAAGTGAGCAAATACTTCTATGGCTGCTAAGCCTGGCTGATAAGTATTATTCGCTGATTTATTGTGAGAGAAAAACACCGTACCATGTCTGATAAGTCTAAGTTCAACCAAACATGGGACGGATCACTGTTTGATCGGGCTAGGGTAGCCCGCCAGGTGTCCGTTGATCCGTTCTGGATAACGGTTATCTGCCCAATGAACGACTTGCAGGGACGACAAGTATAAAGACCTACAGTATTTGTTTGGTACTGGTGGAAGCCCCCTTTTTTATCTAGTATTGGTTGACCAAATTTTGGCCGCCCGTGAATCGGCCAGCCTGAGCACCAAAAATGAACTGGCATAGGCACAAGCGGCCGAAGGCCAGAAGCCAAATGTTGGCTGACATCCAAACGCCTTGCTTGCCCATGGCCAAGGATCAAACTTTGGCTTGGGCGCTTGGCTGCTTCTGGCATAAATTCAAACACGTCCTAAGGCCTAAGCCTCGCGGCGACTGATCGAGTACATCAATAGCAAGAGACCATGGCACGGGTGATGATGGCACCAGAGTTCTTGGCCTTGCGCGTGGGAAGTTTCTTCTCAGTTCGATGTTGTGAAGTGGTCTTTTTTTCCCATTGGTTGAGTTTTTTTCTCTCTTTTTGCTCGATGCTGCACCATGTAGGAAAACTACTGATCACAAGTCTATAGCAGCAGAATAGTTCAAGAAGCCAAAATGGCAAGCCTACCGCCCTAGGCCTGCGTCCAGACGCAGCTCCGTTCGACGCACCCGCCGCGTCCCCCTCACGTAAAATCAAATCGCCTTTGCACAACAGGAGAGAGCGCTCGCTGCGCCCCACGTCACCACGCGCCTGCGGCCCCCTGCTCCCAACCGCGACATACGCAGCCCCCTCCGCCCCAGCGCCATCCCGCTCCGGAGGCAGCGTCCGTCCGTACGGAGCTCCCTCGTCCCGCGCCCATCGCCCATCCCTCATTCGTATGGATGCCCTGCCGGCTCCGGAAGAGACGATGCAGCATAAGGTGGGAGGAGGAGAAACATCCAAAAACAACGGTTGCAACATACGTCTGAAGGCAATTAAAACACTTGAAGCATGCTTCTGAAACACTTGAAAAATACACCTGAAACATACTTGAAAACCATTTCAACCGTACTCAACATCCGAATAAAACACATGCAACATATGTGTGAAACATATGGAACATGCAGATAAACACACAATTACAACATGCCTCCGTTAAACACAGATGAAACATATCTCTAAAACATTTATAGCACTCGAAACATACTATTCCAACATGCCTTTGAAAACAAATGCAACATATGCAACATCCCCAATCTACTTTTGCAACATCCATATGATTCAAATGCAACATACCTCTAAAATGCCTAAAACGATTGAAAGATACAATTGCAACACAGGGGGAGAGAGAGAGAGCCTGGCGCGAGGAGCGCCATGGCCTCCAGATCTGAGGGCACTGGGAGCTCCCTGTGGGGGAGGACGCCAGTGTCGAGAGAGGGGCACCTCCGGGGTGGGGGAAGGAGTCGCGCGGGGTGGAGGAGGAGGAGGCCGACATCGGGGAAGGATACGCCGGTGTGGGGGAGGAGGAAGCCGCAGTGGGGGAGGAGGACGCCGGGGTGGGGAAGGACGCACGCCGGAGTGAGTGAGGGTGCTGTCGGGGTGGGCGGAGGAGGACGCCGCCGCCGGCCAGGGAGGGAGCGGGGGTGTGCAGAAGACGGGCGGGAGGCGCGGAGGAGCGCGGTCGCCGGCTGGTGGAGGTGGGCACGCGCGACGGGGCAGTGCGGTGAGAGCGGGCTGCGCGGTGGAGGCGGACGACTGGGTGTGGATAAGAGGGTGCGAGCGTAGTGAGTGGGGAGACACGTCTGGCTACACGGACGCCCAGTTGGAATCATTATCGAAGCTAAAATGGACTTTTTTCGGTGTGGTTTTGACTCTCAGCTAGTCGGCTATGGTTGACTGAAGGAACAACAGCCGGAGGCATTTTGAGCCCAGTCTACAAGCCCACGAATTGAGTTAAAAAAAAAAGATACAAGCCCGCGAATTCCCTCTGTACCATTTGGGCCATTTTCGATTCGGCCCATCATTTAACGAATTTGCATTTGAGTCTGAGACTAGACCACACGCTGCTGCGTCCGTCTCCCCACCTATCGTGCTTTTGCGGTAGCCAAGGCCCAAGGCCCATGCTTGGTCGTAGTCGTACCATGCTTCACTAGTGTCAGAGCTAGCTATAGTGCGTGACAAATCATTGTACCTGCACCTGATAATAATCCAGTACGTACATAAATTATTGCGCCCGAGAAGCCAGCGAAAGCACATCCATTGGCATTGGCATTGGCACTCCGATGCTGTCTCCGTTATTGATCCCTTGACGATCCGGACATGCGCCATCGCCTTTGGCTTTGGACGATGCCAGCGAGATGCTTGTTCCATTGGAGGACCACTACTGATGCCTTGCCCACTCGAGTGCGCCAGAGTCTTTTGTTATCGTTTAAAAACGGGATAAACTCAGCCTGATGCTGAAATGCTGGTGATCTTGTTTAACATGGATTATTATCAAAACTTATATTAAATCAAAATTTCCACGGCAGAATATTGCCCGCCAGTGTGGATGCCCAAGGATATATATTCGGTTAAACTTTTTGCGTCAAAAGTACCGAGGCTTGCCGAGGAAAGAATATGGATCGATGGGGACGACCCGACGACCCAACGGGCAACGGCAGGTCTCCTCGCTTTCTCAGTTCCTCTGCAGAATTTGGCTCATCAGTCGACAGCCGTCACCCTATCAACTTCCATCCCATGTGAAAACTGGAATGCCTGAGCTCATTTCAGAATTCAGACCAGCTTTGCCGATCTTGCTGCTGCCCATCTTCGTGACTGCATTGTCGCGTGGGCGCATGTGCAAGTGGCAATGCCTCCCATTCGGGTTTGCCCGCTCAGCCTGACTAGGGGACTAGTAGCTTTTTGTTTGTTCCTGACAAACGCTTTATGTGTACAAGTTCTCTTCTTTTTGTGCGCAAAACATACTACAACTATCTGTAAATTCTAAAATCTAGTTCTACACGAGCAATCTGTCATATACGTAGACTAGTTATATGATTGTGGACGTTTTTTCGGTTCACTAAATGCTCTTCTTCTAGCGTTGAGACTTTGGAGCTGAGGGAGTCAGGGTCAATCACCTAGCAAAAGTTTTCCTACCTTCCTCCGATAGCAGTTCGATTCAGTAACTGTACACACGCCTAGCTTTAACCCGATTGCTGCTCAGCTGAAACTAAGAAACCATCGTAATCGCACCATGAATGAAAAACAAATTGTAGGATGAACCACACAAGGAATTGTGAAGCACAAGCAAGAAATACTCGAGAAAGGAAGCTCCAAGGCGGCGAAAACACATGTGTTTCTCCCTGCTAATCATGGTGCTAGAACTTAGAATTCGAGAAGAAAGCACCGCATCGCCGAAGGCCGAAGCGGTGCAGAGAATTTGCATTCCAAATCACCAGAAGCCGGGGCATCTCCTAGCTAGCTGCGCATCATTAGCAATGCAAGAATCGCAGAACGCAAGGCCACACCCCCTACCATCTTTCTTTCCATTACACAACAACCCTCTTTATCAAAAAAGCGAAACCACAGGGGAGCATGCGCAGCGGCATCCGGAGCAAGAAACCCAGTTGGCAGAGCAGATCGGACGCCGATTCACCGTAGCGCGTCGTTGTCGCTGGGGACAGGGACGACGAGGTCGGCAGCGGCGGGGGTGAAGCGGCCGTCGTCGAAGTTGAGCGCGTAGCTGAGCGCGTCGTAGTGGAAGCTGAACCTCCGGCCGCGCCTGGCCCGCTCCGACCGCAGGCGCCGCAGCACCGCGCGCAGGCGCCAGTAGAGGCCCCGCACCAGCCGACTGCTGCATCCCCTCCCGCTTGCCACCGCCACTACCCCCGCCTCCACCGCCGCCACCACGGCCGCCATCCCCTCCGGCTCTCCCCTGAGTCCCCTCCTTCGCGCACGCTCGCTCTCGCCTAGAATCTAGTACTTCTCCACTCTGCTGCTTTGCACCACTACGACTGTGCAGTGGTCAGTGGTTGCTGGTTGGCCGGCGCATGGGAGTTGTGGGGAGGAGATGGCGAAGCAGGGAAAGGCGGAAAAGCGTGCTGCTGCTATATAGGAGTCAGGGGCGTTTGGTTGTTTAGTTGCTTCTAAATTTTGTCGCATCAAATATTTAGATGTTAATAAAAATATTAAATATAGATTAATTATAAAATCAATTATACAGTGAAGGCTAATTTTGAGATGAATTTTTTAAGTCTAATTAATCTATCATTAGCATAGGTTTACTGTAGCACCATGTTGTCAAATCATAGACTAATTAGGCTTAAAAGATTCATTCCATAAATTAGTCGCAAGTTATATAATTAGTTTCGTAATTAGTCTATATTTAATATTTTATGTATATGTCAAATATTCGATGCGACAAGAATTCTAGAGGTGAAGCAACCAAACATGCCCTAACACTGACGCCGTCTCTCTGTGCTGCCATTTCTCTTAGGTACTACGGACCTGTTCGGCAGGACTCAAAAATACTATCCCAACTAATTATTGTGAGAGAAAAATACTATTCTGACAGAACATGAACAGTGATTTCGTGAGACAAAAACAAGCCAGCCGAACAAGCCCTACCTCTCTCAAAAAAAGAGCAATTTTAAGTGTACCTTTTGTCAAAGTATCTAAATTTTGACAAGCTTATTAATAAAAATATTAATATTTATGATAGTAAAAAGATATACTATGAAAATATATCTCACGATAAATATTTATATTTTTTATCTATAGTTGGACAAACATAAGATCCTTTAACTAGACACTATTTTAGAATTGTGTTCTTTTGTGGAGTGGGGGTACCATTTTTTTTTTTTTGCTATGCATTTATATACTATAGGCTATGTCTAAATGCGTAATAAAATTTATATATCTAGAAAAACCAAAACGATTTATAATCATAATAGAGGAAGTACTATATATAGAGATAATGGCCCGGTTTGGTTCGCTAAAAAAGTAAACTAAAAAAGACAAATTATAAGACAAACGAACATGACCGATATATATCTAAGTGTCTAACCCAAACTATTGTACCTAGAAAGCGAGAATGTATTATAATTTGGAAGTTGGAACAGAGCAGGTACAATATTTGGTTTGATGGAATAGTCTTGTTCGTGCTTTTTTTTTTACTATTCTACCACGTGTTTGGTTGAAACGAATGGATATATCCAAGTTTTTTTTTATTTAGCTGGAGAGATTGGAAGCTGTAGGATGGACGTCGTTTTATAGACCATTAGTCCACGATAGTCATTGTGCCCACTTGTCATTCTAAGCAAATATCTTCTTCCCCTTCCTCTGGTCTCTTACTGTATTCTCACTCGCACTAGAAGTTTCTGCTCCGTTCATTCTAAATTACAAGTTGTTATAGCTTATCTAGATTTTTTTTAAGATAATGGAACAAAATTCAAGGCTCTATCATCCTTCTAGCTTTTTTGATACATAGCTTTTAGTATATACATTGACCCCTGTATCATGAATATATGTTAAGTTTCAAGTTTTAGTGGATATTGAAATTCAAAAAATTCTCTTCAAACACGACGAATTCAGTTAAAATAAAATAGACAAAAATAGATTTGGATAAATCTATTTCGGATGTATATTTGAATCGAGTATGAATGTACTCCCTTCGTTCCAAATTATAAGTCGTTTTTCATTTTTTTTGGTTAAACCATCTTGTTATGTATCTAGACAAATATATTATTTATCTAGATGCATAGCAAAATGGATGCATAAAAAATCAAAATGACTTATAATTTAGAACGAAGGGAGCTCGTATTCAATTCAATGTTTTAGTGGATATCGAATAATTTGAACTCTCCGCTATTTGTTCTTTTTTAAAAGAAGTGTCTCAGTTCATTTTTAGTTTTTCACCCAAGTCGTATGGACATGAACACATGGCTAGAGGTAGGAGGTAGGGCTGAGGACTGGCGGGCTGGACTTGGGACCAGAGGGGACGGACTGCAGCAAAGCTGACCTGCGGGTCACGTGGGTGCACACCGTCAGTCCGTCGGGACAGACAGTGTGGCTGGCCGGCCGCTGGGCGCTGTGGATTGGTGAGAATTTCTTACGGGATTTCTGTGCGTGTTTAGTTTGTGAATTTTAGAAATTTGGTTACGATAGCATTTTTATTTTTATTTGGTAATTAGTGTTTAATCATGTCTTAATTAGATTTAAAATGTTCGTCTCATAATTTCCAACCAATTCCAACCAAACTGTATAATTAGTTTTTTTTATCTACATTTAATACTCTATACACGTATGTAAAATTTAATGTAATAACTACTGTAGCACTTTTTGAAGTGAACAAGCACTCTATCTGCGGCTTGGATTCCCGGGCCACAGCGCTTGGATCTTTATGTCCCCTCCAGGCTCCAGCCACGGTGCAGTGGACAGTGGACTCTCGTCTCGTGGGCCCGTGGCCCTCGTCGGCATACGGCCCCAGCGCAGGCGATGGATTGGAGACCTCCACCTGTTCGTCGAAGTTATCCCTACCGTTTCAGAGAAACTCTGCCTCCGCCTCCGCGGGCCCTGCCGTCCTCGCATGCGCCTGCGATGCGAATTGATTGATAGCGGGCACACGAAAGAACAGTTAACGAATTGAAGGATCGGCAGCGAAATAAAAAAGGTTATTTAATTTGTACCATTACAGTTCTAAGAAATTTGAGATATACCATTAAAATTCATCTATTTTGAGATCTACCATTATAATTTATCGTTTCACTGAATTTCATCATTTTCTACGTCTTCTAGCTGCTTGGGCCCACTGACAGTCGTATGCTCACTGTGCTCTTTTCTGTATGGCCGATTTTGCCCCCGTCCGAAGATGAAAGAGGCCTGCGCTGCGCCCGTGGCCCCATCTCTCAGTCCCTTCTCCTCCTCGTGCTCACTCTGTCTCTCACTCGTCCTCTCGACGCGGCGACGGCGGGGTAACCCTAACCCTAGCCGTCGGCGTCCTGGAGCCCGCGCCCAACTCCACTACCGTCTGCGCCCGAGCTACACTCCCGTGGCCCCATCTCTTGGCCTGTAGGCTCTGCACCGTGGCTGCGCCTAGCTTTTGAAGTCATGGTCGGGCAGTGGATTGGAAGCCCGATGAAGGTACCTTCGATAGGCTCGAGCGCGACGGGCAGCGGCAGAAGGGAGTGCCCTTATTGCCATGTTCCTTTGGTCCAGATCCAGAGCAAGCAGCCGGCGACAAAGGGTCAGTGGTTTCTCACGTGCCCGTACAACATTAAGGTTAGGATTCTTGACATTGTTGACCTCACTGTGTCTCTTGATGCTACTCTGATTGATGCTTTTTGTGTGTAGGGTGATCATACTACATGCGGCTTCATCTTCTCTGAGTTGCAGATTGAGGCCTTGGAAGCAAGGGAAAGCCAGTGGCAGACTGGTAAGGAGACATCAGCTAACTGTTATGCCGAGTTGAAGGAAGAATTGCAAGAGTTGAAGCAAACTGTGGATAGTGTAGTAGCTGATCTGTGGAAACTGAAGGTCCAACCTGCTGAGCCGAAGCCTGAGCTGGACACGAAGAAATGCCATATTGTGCTTGATTGTTCAGTTGTATCGCCAGTTTTTTTTGGCTTTGTAGGTGTCCTGATTGGCGCATTTGTTGTTGCTGTCATGTGGAAGTGAACAGCTAGAATGTGTGTTAATCAGCTAATGTAAGTGTGGGTTGGTTGTGTTGGAGCTATGGCTCTCTGTTTCTTTTGTGTACTGATGAGGTCCAAACCTTCTGATTAAGTTACAAATCTGTGGTTAGCTTCCAGTGAGCTCAACTTGATCTGTGGTAGCTTAACTTGATCTGTGGTCGCCATGTTTGAGCAAAGCTTGTGTTCATCTTTTCAGTGTTCAACAGCTTTAGATGTAACTGTTAACAAAAAATGAATAAATGTCAATGTTGGTTACAGACTACATATCAAATTGTTGATGTATGGGTACAGATCTTACATGTAGCGATGTAACAAGTGTAACAATGCATTATGGAGGTTCAGGTGTGGCTTTTGTTTGTTCCTCAGGCAATTGTGTGGATTTGTAGCAGATTGGAGTTCTGATTCTGTCCAAATGCTTATTCACAGTACTATAGCACTTTGCAAATGATTTGGACACTACAGAAGGACTTTTGTGTGGATTTGTAGCAGATTGGGGTTTTGATTTATCTGCATGTTCTTGAGTAGAATATCGATAAAATCTAGGAGAACATATGGAAGGAACCATAAATTCATCATCATTGACCACTTCCTTCCCAGAAGACTTGACGGTGTTGATCACTCTATGTTGTGGGGTGCACTCGGCAATTGATTTTGAAGCACAGACATCCTTGCTCTTGGTTTGTAAGGAAATCCTCAGAGATTCTCTTCTTGTACTATTAGACTGCCCATTGATAGAGTTTCCTTTGAACTTTTTAGATGAACGAGCAAGTTCATTTGAAGGCACATCGAAGGGGTGGAACAGAGCCCTGTTATAACCATAAACATGGATGGAGAAACTATGTCAGTACTTTGTAAAATTTATTGAAAATTTTGTTAGAACTCTAAGTTCCTATCTTCATTTGCCAAGGCCCATTCAGTTAGGATCCCTCCATGCAAACTGGTAGATAGTACTTTCAAAGCATCCAGCAACTTTCATTTAAAACTAGATTAGAGGTGAGAAATGGAGTAATTGATGAGCTCCCAATCTTAACAAATTTGGACCCCAGTTGTGAGTTCTGGAAAGATGAAAGAAAACAAGAACACTCATCCATCAAATTCCTATGTGTTAGATGCAGATAAACAGAAGACTCAATGCAACAGCTCACTCACTAGCTACTCAAGCATTCCCAGTTCAGGTGCTGAAACAATGATCATGTTACCCTTCTAGTTGCCCCACTAGGGAGGCACTGTAGTTGTTTCCCAGTTCAGCAGATAATGATCTACTTGAACCTTGCTGCTGCAAGTGACTTGTCGCAAAGAGGAATGCCAACACTTAAACCAGTAGCACATGACTCAGCACCAAGACTAGTTCAACACTTAAACTCAACTACAAGGTTCCAGGATTATAACACTTAAATCAAGGTTCAACACTTAAATCAACATAACAGCATACCAGGTTCAACTATTATTCTTACAACCATATAAGGTTCCAGCATACCAGGTTCACAACCATACATGGTTCCAGCATTCCAACTACAAGGTTACACAAAAGCATATCATAAACTAGGGTACCCCATAAACTACAACAAGGTTCAACTGCTGACAAGCTCTAGTCTTCATAGACTAGCCTCCTAAGGCTACTAACAACAGTAGTCGGTGGGTCTGCTGTTGCCTTCTTGAGCTTCTTCTTGATGGGTGTCTTCTTCTTTGTTGTTGTGACCTTCTGCTTCTTCTGAACTTTCTGTTTCTTGCCTTGGGAGGGACCAGCTGCATTTGTTGAAGCTTGTTTCCTACATTTTAAAGGTGACATTATATATTGTGAAGTGAAAAACAAGACAGATTTAGTGCACAGAAACATACCTTTTGTTAGCCTTGTTCCTTGGTGGAGCTCTCTCACCATCTTCTCCAATCTCTGCCTCTTTGCAAGTTTTGAAAAGTGGCCAAAATCTCCACATCTCCTACATTTGACTTTTTTTTGGATGCCCTTTTCTCCAAGCAACCTCTATGCCTTTGAACCTTTGGTCTTCCTGCTCCTCTGCCTAGCAATGGTGGAAACACTTTGAATCCAAGTTCCACAACAGGCCATTGTGACCTATCTGGGATAGGTTCAATTCTATCCTTATAGGTTGCCTTGAACATAGCTACTGAGTAATACTCATGGACAAAATCTTCACTTTTGACCCCTCTGTTGGACAGAATCCATGCCAAAGCATGTTTGCAGGGCTTCCCTGTCAACTGCCAATGCCTATAGGAACATTTATGGTTCTACAAGTCAACTGTTTGTCTTTTCTGATTGTTCCACTCATCCAAGATGATCACTTCTGCAATATCAACATCACTAACTGATACCTTGACCACTTTGAGGTTATTGCTGATCAAGTTGAGCTCCTTCATCACATTTAGGAGTATTCCATCTGTCCACTGCCTAGCAAGCATTTTCCTAGTGTATCTCATCTCCATGATCAGCTCTTTGATTCTTTCAACTAATTCATGTAGTAGCAGCCCTTTGAACTTCTTTACTTGTGCATTGAAGCTCTCTGAAACATTATTTGTCAAGTAGACACACTTGCTGTTTTCTGAAAATGCACACCTGTACCAAATCCTGTTGTGGTGCTCCTCAAGGTACTCAATGACTTTAGGTGTAAACTCAAAAATTTTCTTCATGTGCCACTGAAACAGCCTTTGTGTGTAGCTTCTAGCTGTAGGGTACAAGTGATCAGTGAACACATCACCAGAATACTTCTTCAAAAAATTCTGATACAAATGCCACATGCACTCCCTATTTTCAGCTTGTGGGAAGACAGACCCCACTGCATTCTCTAGTTCTTTACATGCATCTGAACATATAACCAGATTTGGAACATCTCCTATAACCTTATGCAACTGCTGCAGAAACCAATTCCAATTATCTTCAGTTTCTGACTCGAAAATTGCATAAGCTATATGGTACAACCAATTGTGTCCATCCACACCAGTAGCTGAAGCTAACTGACCCCTGTATTAACCATACAAACAGGAAGCATCTACCCCAATAAAAGGTCTGCAACCAGATAAGAATCCATCCACACATGGTCTAAGAGCAACAAACATCCTCTTGAATATGTTTTTGGTGCCAATCTTCTCTAACTCTATCTCTACTAAGCTACCAGGGGATACTTTCTCAATTTAAGCTTTCCAATTGAAAAGCAACTGAAAACTCTCCTCATATTTACCATGGATCTGCTCTAAAGCTACCTTCATACCTGACCGTGCCTTGGAGTATTTCAACTTAATGCCATAGTCATCCTCCAATTTGTCCCTGCACTCAGTTGCACCTTTGGTTGGATTCTTCTTCAGCCAGTCTGTCAACCTATCTGCACACCAACCTTGGGTGGCCATCTTCCCTTCTCTGAGTTTTGTGGTAGGACAGTTGTGTTCAAAAGGTAGCCTTTTGATCTACACAAACAAATGCAATAGGACATTAGTTGCATAAATAACAAGTTTAATAACCTGTACCAACAGTAATTACAAATTTACCTCTATTGTCTTACCATAAGAATTTCTAGAAGCGTGTATACGCCAAGGACATCCCTCTGCTTTACACTTAGCAATAAATCTAGTAGGGTCAGTTTGCACACCAGCAAACTCAAAGCATGTCTTCACTGCATAATGCCTAATTGCCTTCCTGAATGCAACAATATCAGGAAAGAGCCCATCTTGGGGTTTTCTGGATCATGAATCACATGGACCTCCAGTGAATCTGCATCATCAATCTCTGCCTCAAGAGGAACACCTCCTTCAGCAGCACCACAATCATTTGCATCAGCATTAGCACATGGTTGTGGGTGAGAACTGTTAGCAGCCTGTGCATTGTTAGTGTACTGATGAGGAGGTACTGGCTTATACATTCCCTTATCATCGACACCCACATACTCCTCATTATCAAACATGTCTGGCTCCCTGTCAGGCTCTAGTTTAGGCTCTAAAGGATACTCTGCTTCTTCATCTGGCTCAGCAGTAGGCTTGGTAGCAGGGCTAACAGGAGGATTAGGTGCTCAGCAGGATCTGGAATAGGATTCTCATGCCTATTGGGATCTGGACTACGATTCTCATGCTCAACAGGAGGAATCACACAAAGAGGCTCTCGGGTAGCAAACTCATCAACATCTGCAAATTTTCTTTCAAAAACTCCTACAACAAGTTGGTAATACATTTGATCCTTATACATTTCAAACACATTATTCAGCTGGAAGTCATTAACTAGTCTGACATCTTCACACATCCTTTTGTCAAAGAACCACACACAAGGACTCTGGGTAGGGGACCATTTGAACTGATTGGTCAAGCTTTGCATCAGCAACTCAAAAGTGAACGATTCTACCTCCACATCCCATTTAATCACACTACTCTTCGTGTAACCTTTCCTACCATTACTGTCTGTAGTATAGAAACCTTCAACTTTAATCTCTAAGGAGAACAACCGAACCCTAGCAGCTAACAAACAATTCGCAAATAAATACACTAGGGTCAGCGCAATTCCTCGACCTACTCGCATCGCTACTCAGACTCAAGAGATTGAAGGTTGGAGATCCATACCTCTCCTCGCCGTGCTCCATGTTTGTGGGGTCAGCCATTGCGCTCAATGGAACACCATCGTGAGGTCGCTGGAGAGGCTCCAATCGTCCGGGATCCGGAGGTCGACTCAAGCAGCAGCTGGGCTCCAGACGCCGGTGGCGGCAATTGGCTCAAGGCGTGGCTTGGGCTTTAGGACGCCGGGTGGTGGTGGTGACTCGAACGCAGGCGCTGGCTCAGGATCTGCTGGCGGCTAGGTTTAGGGTTCCCCGCCGTCGCCAAGATCGGGAGGACAGAGAGAGAGCAGTGAGCGCGAGGAGGAGAAGGGACTGAGAGATGAGGCCACGGGCGCAGCGCATGCCTCTTTCATCTTCGGACGGGGGCAAAATCATCCATACAGAAAAGGGCACAGTGCGCATACAACTGCCAGTGGGCCCAAGCAGCTGGAAGACGTAGAAAATGGCGAAACTCAGTGAAACGATGAATTATAATGGTAGATCTCAAAATAGACGAATTTTAATGGTACATTTCAAATTTCTTAGAATTATAATGGTACCGATCAAATAACCCAAATAAAAACGGAATTGCCAATTGTGTCCTCGGGTCACGGCAGCACAACAGCTCCTACCGAATTTTTTACTTTTTGGTCCTTTTTTTGAAAGTTTCTCTCAAATAGACCCCTGGCGGAAAGAATTCCAGAAATGGACCCTTGGCTCGGCGCCAGAGTGAGTGGCACCGAGCTCGGCGCCACGGTGATCTGGCGCGAGAGCTCTCGGCCACGGCAAGCGGCCTGCAAGGGCTCGGCGCGGAGAGCGGATGGCCGAGCGGATGCGAGATCTGGCGCCGAGCTCGCGCCCACTCTCTAGCCGCCGAGCTCGGCCTAAATATCTACCGGCCGACCTTCTTCCTCCTCTAGTTGCCCCTAGCCCCGCCCGCCATTGCGCCACGCCCGCCAGCGCCAGAAGGCGTCGCGCCGCGCCCGCCCGCCGCGCCCACCCGCGCCGCGCTGCGGCGGCCGCTCGCGCCGTTGCAGCTTGCCTGCATGCGGCGCGCGCCCGACGACGAGACACTGCCCATGAGCCAGTATGCGCCGCACAGCAGCTGCTGCCAGCGCCATGCACCGCCCGCACCCTTTCGCCGCCCGCCGCCGCGCCGCGCCGCCGCCCGCTGAGCCAGCGCAAGAGCCAGCGCCTGAGCCAGCCCAAGGGCTTGGCGAGCATTCTTTGCTGGCGCTCCGGCGGCGAGAGCAGCCGCTGCCTCCGCTCCTCGCCCGAGCCCGCACCGCGGCCATAAGCCAGCGCAGCAAGGCTGGGCCCATCCGAGCTGGCTGCTTTGCCCGTGGCGAGCCCACGCCGCTGCCTCTGCTCCCTCGGCCGAGCCCGCACCGCGCCGCTGTGCCCTCGCGTTGTTGGCCGTTGGTTGGCTGCAGCGCCGAGCCGCCACGCCCTCCACCGTCGTCGTAGCCTTTGTCTCCACCGCCGGCCTCGGCCTCGCCCCGCCTTGCCGACGTCCACCGCTGTCCTCGCCTCGCCCCGCCTCCCGCGGCCGTCGAGCCGGTCTCGCAGCGCGGAGCGCCGGCCACCCCGCGATCGCCGCGCGCCACCTCTGTCATTGGCCGTGCCACCGCAGTCCCGGATATTCGCCTTGACCTACGCCCATCGTCCGTCGACCCGGAAAGGTATAAAATATGAATATGCAATGTACCTATTTAGTTGGTGTATGTTATTGACTAGTTATATTGTGATGACTTTGTTAGTTGATTTAGTTATATATATGTAGATAGATAGAAACATAGATACATTGATAAATAGATATAGTTAGATAGCTACTTAGATATGTAGTTATATTTGTAGTTAACTACATATGATCTTGCTATTTAGTGAGTACACTATAAATATATACGTAGTTATGATCATGATTACTTATGTTTGTATTTAGAAAGTACTTGTTAGGTACTATCTATCGT